GGGGAGCCGGCGGGGGCTGCGGCTGCGGCCGGGGGGGCTCGGGACCGTCGCCCGGGTCGGAGGGAGTGGAAGCATCCAGGAAGGAGCAGAATTCCCAGCTGTCGGAGAGGATGTCGGAGGCGGAGAAATCGAGGGGTCCCAGCTCGAAGGCGCCTCCCCCCTTCTCACTGCTGGAGGTGCTGCTGACCGTCGCCGTCGTCCAGTCGTCCGGCTCCAGCTCGAACTCGAAGTCGGACGTCAGTCGGTCGATCTGGCTCACCACCTGCAGACACAGGGACGGACGGAAGGGCAGAGAGGAGCTGCCGGATGGTTTTTGCTCCGTAATAACCCCACGTCCCTAAATCTCTGCCATTTCCCCCGGTATCACCCGTGTGATGAGTTGGGAGGTCTCAGCCCAGGTGGAGCCGCCCCGGGAGCCCTTCGGCAGGGACCGAAGCCCACCCGGCGACACAGCACCTATGGGCCCCGAGCAGGCGGTGAAGCCTTGGGTGCTCCTGGGTGCTCGGTGCGGCAGGATGGGCCCTTCCCAGGGTGGCCCTGGGGTCTGCCTTGTCCCCTGGGACCCCGAGTGACACCCCAAATCCCTGCACACGTGGTGTCCCTTGGTCCCTTGCACCCATCCATGGGGAACCACCAGCGACCGCCACCTCCTCCCCCTGGAAAAGGCAGCTCCGCGGGTGGGGAAACTGAGGCGGGGGTGGAAAATGTCCCAAGGCTGTGTGACAAAATGCAGAGCAGCACGGGAAGGTCGGGGGCTGCGGGGACAGCACTGTCACCCCCCCGCCCTGGCTGGGATGCTGACGGGCTCGGTCTCCTCGATCTCTTGCAAGGTGCTGAGTATATCAAGACCCATGGTGGCTTGGGGACGGGGTCGTGGCCCCGCCACGGCGCAGGGGACGGACCTCACATGGGGCACGAATAAAACAAGCCCTGAAAAAATTAAAAATAATAGATGTAATGTCCTAGCTGAGGTTCAAGCCACGGGAAGGGCTGGAAGGGAAAGGAAGGGAGGAAGGACCTCCTTCCTCCTATGGCTCCCATGGACCGTGGTCTTCATCTAATGACCTTGCCGAGGTTTCGGATGCAAGAGGCTCATCATCCACCTTCAAGTCTTTAACCCCATCCAGCTCAAGGGCTACCCAGCACCGAGCACAGCACTAATCCTGCCCGGGGCTCCCCGATCCCACCCAAGCACCCGCTGCCGTGGCATCCGGCTGGAGCCATTGCTGTGTCTCCAGGAGCGTCGTAGTGTTTCTTGGCTGGTGGTTCTGCGTGGATGTGTGTGCGCAGGGGGGTGTGTGGCTTTATTTTGTGTGGGAGGCAGAGCACGATGCGAAAATTCAACTCAGCAGCAGTTTGAAGTGCATATTTTTGGCAGGGTTGCTGGCTCGCCTCCCCCCCCTCTCCGGGGGAGCTGGCAGAGGGCCTGGCCGGTCCCAGCGCTGCCAAGCAGGAGGTGGGCAGCGGCAGACAAGCGGGGGGGCTAGGGGGAACCCCTCAATATCCCTTGTACCTGTTTGTGCACCCAGTTGATGCATTTTGTGCTCCCCCCCCTCCCCCGCATAGGCATCTGCGGGCATCTGTGCCCCCCGGCACCCCAGGGCTGTGTCCCTCCCTCTGCTCCTCGGCCCCCCCATCCCGCATGTGGAGCACTGGGGAGCGAAAAAACCCCCGTGCTTAGCTTTTTCCAGGTGGTTTCTCCATGCATAGATGTGGTTTTTTTTCTGGTTATTTTTCATTATTGCCTTTCTCTCCCCACCTTTTTCCTTCCGCTGCCCTTTCGCACGTCCTTTCCTGGTGGAAATCAGCCACAAATTTCCCAAAATACCGGAGGGAAGACAAATCAATGGGCAATATCTTGCCAGACACGTTTCATTTCCTTCTCCTCATGCCACCGAAAAACCCTGCCATATCTCCACCGGTCCCACGGTTCATCAATGGGTGTTGGACCTCCTCATCCACCAAGAATAATTAATCATGGCACATCTCTCCATCATTTTTATGCTGCTGTTATCCCATAACTCCATTTTTTTGAGCACTTCTGCTGGGGGAGACCGAGTCCTTGGGCTCAGACATCCCATCCCATCCTTGCGTTGGGTAGCTGAGGACGGGCACCCCAAAGCTGCTGTCATGGTGCCCGGTTGCCTTTGGTCTCTGCATCCCTTTGCTAGCTGCCAGCACGCAGAGGTTTGGCTCAACACCATAAATCACTAGAAATGCACCATAAAACACGGCTCAGCAGGGCAGGCTCCTTGCAAAGCCCTCGTGGCGGATGAGGAGGCGTGGGCAGAGTTAAGGGTAATTTAATATGTCTGGGCATCTGAAACCAGAAGCCCGGGGGGATGATTACGCTGCCAGCAGCCAAAGTGGCTCCATGACACTCTGCTGACCTAATTTTAATAAAATTCCCATATTCGAGCTCCAAATTTCACTTGTTCGACAGCCCTGCCCATGCAGCTCTCCTGCTCTGTCAAGCTCCCGAGGAGATGGCACCAAGGATGGGGGACCCCGACCTCCCATTTGCTTGTTGGGGGGATCCGGCCATCGCAGTACCACCTCTTTTAAATCAGCTGCAGGTCCCCATGGGACATCTCCAGGCTCCGGCTGCAGCGAGGACCATTTCTCGGGTCACCAAATGCTGCATGACAACCTAGGGACAACCTGGATGAGCATCTCTGGAGGACAAAATAGTGTCACCTCCATGGGGGCACAACCCCAAGGGGCACAGGGGTCCGATACAATTCGTGTGAGGGTGATGGGGCTGGATGTGTGCGTTTGCTGCCTGCTGCAAACACGGAGCAGAGCAACTGGGGAGACCTGGGAATGTGGAGATGCTTTCCGAGATGGGACTGGGCGGTGTCACCAGGGAAACGCAGGTTGAAGGGCTGGGGATTGCTCCGTGTTGGACACGTTGGCAATAAAAGATGCCAAAAAACATCTTTCCAGGGAAAAAAGGGTGCAGTGGAGCCCGGATGAAGTTTGGGTTGGAAATGAGAGGAGCGCTCCCACCATCAGACCTGAGCACATGGTCATGGGTGCTAACACACCTCAACGGCCCCGATCAGCCCCACCTGGGACCCCCACCCCACCCTGCCCATGGCCCAGGAGCCCATATAAGCTCAGCCCAGGGCTAGAAATCCCCTCCTAAGCTGTGCTGTATGAGTGGTTTCTCTCCTGGATGGACCTCTTGAAGGTATGTTGAAGCCCACCCCTGGTCCTGCCTCGGGGATGGACCTTGGACCTACATCATGGCACTGTCACCCGGAGGGACTTTGGGTCCCCAAAGCAGGGTAGTGCTGGGGACAGTGAGCTGAGCGCTTCTCATCCCAGGCAGCAGAAGGCAACGGGCTTTACCTAAGCTCCTCACCTGGGATCTTTGACTTATTTTTCCTGCCTCCTTGCCCACGCAAGTCCTCCAGAAAGGACAGGCAGGGACCCATACATCCTTCAAACTTTGGCTTTGAAGGGTGCTGGGGGCAAGCTGGGAGCATCCGCACCAGCATTTGCAAGAAAGTCTTGAAATTAGAAAAGGCAATTGCTTCTGTTCCCAATGCACCACGAGATTTCATTTTTTTCCCTTTTTTTTCTCTTTTCTTTGGGGGAGAAAGGGTGAAACTTGAGGAAAAGAGAAAAAAAAAATATGATGTGACCTCTTCTTTCTCAGTGACAAGAAAGAATGAGGAAAAAGGGCAGGAGAAGAGCTGTTCCTGGGAAACACCCGGCTATTATTTTTTAATAAGGCAGCAAATGATTCTGCTGAAACCCTCGGCTAAATGAGATCACCTCTGTTTTCATGAAGGCTCAGTGATTACAACGTCGGGCTCAGGGCGAGCATCTCCTTGGGCTCTGAGTCGGGTCCCTGTCACTCAGGGTCCTTGCTCCTCCTCATCTTCATTAAAGGGACCCGCTGTGATTTGGGCTGGGTGGGTGCCAGGAGCAGTCACGTCCTCATCCTGGTCCTCGTCCCGGCACACAGGGATTAGTGTCACATCAGCGGTGGCTCACTCGGGGCTATTTTTAGGAGTGCTTTCTATTTTAAATGGGTGGTGGTGGTGACGGGGGGTGAGGTGGGGGTGTCAAATACCTATGTGACACTTGGTACCCGCTGAGGATTTAAATGTAAAGTAGGATTTGGTTTTTTCTCCCTTCTCTCCTTCCTGAGGCAGGTTGTCAAAGATTTTTAGCTGAGGCCATCGCTGCTGGCAGAGGGAGCCAGGGCGAGAGCGATGGGGAGGGAGGGATGGACCAACCAGACCTGGGATCGGGTGGTTTGGGGTGAGACCCTGGTGATGCTTTCATCCCCCAGTGAACTGGGGTGGCTCTGTCCCCCTAAAAGCAGGTGAGGAGGGTTGGGGTGTCCTCAGCATGTGCTGGAGGTGCCATGGGGGTGACCGAGAGAGCACGTGTCCCCATCCTCCCTTACCTTTAGGTTTTACCTTGCTGCAACAAGCCACCTTTTTTGGTGACAGCAGAGCATCCCTGGTCAAACCAGGGGTACGTGGCAGCAGGCAAATAGGGAGCAAAAGTAATTCCCCTTGACCTCGTGCACGGTGTCACCAAGGGGCCTCATCCTGCTACGCCCAAATGCCCTGAAAGCAGGCGCTGGGTGGCCAAGGGGTGCTCAGCCCTCGCCCAAAGCGACAAGCTTTGAGCAGCCATAGGATGAACTGGAGCGAGGCAGAGGGATGGGCCCACGTCCCCGTGGCACCCCGTAATCTCTACGGGGCACCGAGGGAGGATGTGCTAAACCACAGCACCGACCAGTTCACCTCCACCCCAAAAACCAGCTCCCACCATTCAGCCCAGCTGGGAGTGCTGGGTGCTCCCCTCACCCCATGTACAGTCCCTGCACCCATGGACACTGCTGGCAGCCAGGAGCCTTCCAGATGAAAGCCTGGGTGCCCCAAATCGGGTGTTTGCCTCCCCAGCTGAGGCAGATGTTGAACATCTAGAGCATCGTTGTTTTTTAATGGGATTTTTGGTTATCAGCTGCAAATCAAGCACGGAGGTTCCTGGCTTGGTGGCTCTAGCGTCCCCATTTTGGCCATGCTGTTTCCTATCGAGGAGCTAAACCTTCTGGAAGCTCGAGAAGATGCTGGAGAGGCAAGGGACGAGGTGGGAGGACAAGAGGGGACTTCAAAGGCTTTGTGGCCGGTAATGCATACAATTCCTGAGGCCGGGGAAGGAGCTGGAAGATGTTGGACTCAAAGTGGTGTGATCTAACGGCGCCTTCATCCCGGCACGGCCTTTGAAGCGGCTGGGCGAAGCAGATCGGCGCTCGGGGCGGGTACTGCTGGGCAAAGGGAGGGTCTGGGGTGGGGAGATCAAAGCGGGGTGTCTTTGCTTCGACGACGTGCGTGTGTCCCCTCAGCTGCCCTCCGGCAAGATGCAACTGTTTTCCCAACCCAGAGCAAAGCATCTTGTCCCCAGCCGGGCTGGGAGAGGAGCAGGGATTTTTGTGCATCCCTCCTCTAGACCCTATGCTCCCTTGGCTGCCGGCTTGGTCCCCATGCCCAGCACCCCACTGCGCACCTCCAGCAGCACGTTTTGGGGTCCAAAGCATCTTCCCATGCTACGCAGCTGCTTTCCCAGGCTGGATCCGACCCGCCTGGCCCCGCGCTCTGCTTTGCTGACAGCTGGCACGCGGAGGGGATGTGCAACGGGACCACGTGGCCCATGAAAAAATCCCCAACCCTATTCCCAAAGCATCCCAGAGGCATTTGACACCACCGCCTTGAACATCAATTCCTCCCTCCACGGGGATAAGGAGCCACCCCAAAGCCTCTGGCAGAGTCCCTGCGACCCCACAGCCAAACTCTCCCGGAGCCAGGGACCTTCCCGCATCTCCCAAACCACTCCCCGGCGCAGGCAAGGTGAGTAAATATTTAATAGGGAATAAATGATTAATTGGAACTTGCAAAGAGAAGCTGGGTTACAGGGACCTCTCTTCCCTGAGCTGATGCTTATAAATGAGTGTGCCACGGATCTCGGGATCATTTGCTAGATCATCAGCTGCTAAATAGTTTGAAATCATTGCACAGATCTCTAAAACATGTTATTATTAGAATAATAAGCTGCCTTCTCTCTGTGAACTTTCCCAAGCGTTCCCAGCTTATCACCTATTGATTACAACATTATTAAGGTATTTATTACCATAAGGGGTTGCAGGGAGGATTCTCCTCCTGCCAAAGGCTTGGAGGGGACCCCTCAGTGCCGCTTCCCTGCGTGGTGGGACCCCACTCCTCCCACGCCAGGGGGTGCAGGGGTGATAGGACCCTTCCCATGGGATTTTGGGGGGTTTGCACATAGGGAGGCTTGCACAGATATTTATTTCCCCACCTCTGGATATACCCCGTGGATGGTTTCTGACCCCCAGCACTAATCAAAGGGATCCCCCAAGGTTGAGAAGGAGCTCAGCCTTGCAGTGGAGATGGCTGGGACCTCCTGGGGTGCCTTCTTCCCCGTGGCGTCACTCTTATTCCCGTGGGAAAAGGCCGGGGCTGGCAGGAGGCGTGTGGGAGGGCAGGCAGCGTGGCAAGTGCTCGGCGGAAGAGCCTTCCCTGCCTGCCTCCTGCCTGATTTCTACTTCCAGTGTGCGATTTCAATCAAAGATTTTAATAATCATTTTCCCCGCACATAATACAGCCCTGTCTTGGAGTGCTGGGGAATAATTATATACACAAAAAGGGAAAG